CATACTTCTCCTTTAACACTAACCTAATAAGCGGTAAAAGCATCGCGGATGTGGGCAATTTTGGATATGGAATATTTCTGCAATTTTGCAGCTGCGCGCAATTTTAAGGCTTGACGTGTTTGGGGTTTATTTACCTGACGTGACCCTGTCTTTTATTTTTCACCAACAAATTGGGTAAAAATAAATGTTTCATAACATAGTAACAAAATGTTTGCTATTAGGAAGATTTAATACCACCAAAAAGAAAGCTCTATCTGTCCCAGAAAAATGATATCCAGTTAATTTCGGTACGGCGTTGCATTAGTGAATAATTGTCAAAGTACCTCAGCTCTGAATACTGAAAAATGGCTGGGACAGGAAGGGGGGATAACACCCCAGACTATAAGTGGTTAAAAAAAAAACAAAACACAGCCAGTGCGCTTCACAGGTTATACAAAAATCTCCTTCATCAGGGCTTAGGTCAACTGTACTGCAGAACCCTGGACACAGGATTGATGTTTTGGAGTTGTATTCATAGATGTAGATTCAGTTTAGGACAGTAGACCAGAGACCGCAGCGAGCTAAAACTGTATCTATTAAATATAAGCCCTGATGAAGGAACGGTTACAGATCCCCCAAAGCATGTTGGCAATTATTGTGTTCAAAGACACCTTTCATGTGACAAATAAAATAATACCTGGACTGAGTTTCACCCTTTGCACTCTGTCTTTCTATATAGGTTGGTGTTTCCAGGGGCCCATCAAGGCTCTCCTAGGGCCTCAGAGAGCAGCCATAATACAACAACCATCTCTTCTAAATGGAACCCGCATTGAGTTCGGAGTCCAGTGCTCCACCATTCTCCGTATGAAAGTAAACTGGCTGCTCTGTATACTGCAAGGCCTTGTTCACACCACTGTGATTTCATGCCCACCACCGCGCATGTATGTATGGCGTGAACAGGGCACATAAAAAGCAGTTGTTTTCTATGTGCCCTGTTCACGCCATACATACATGCGCGGTGGTGGGCATGAAATCACAGTGGTGTGAACAAGGCCTTGCAGTATACAGAGCAGCCAGTTTACTTTCATACGGAGAATGGTGGAGCACTGGACTCACACCATACTTGTGCCATGTTGTGCAGAACAATGCAGCTCAATGGACATGGTGTGAAAAATCCCTTAGAGGCTCTTCACTTTGACATTAAAGGTATCATTAGCTTTTAATGATGTTCCCAAGGCCAGCCATAGGTGCGATTAGATGTTTGGTGGCGCTGGCAAGACAGTGGTGACTGGGGGTTCAGAGCAGGACACTTGCCCTGTTAGCAGGAAGAGGGAACCCATTAAGTGCAAATATATCAATATTTCCACATTTATTTTGTTACTTCTTTCATCATGCCTGTCTGAGCAAACCTACCCATAGCATTTCAGAGTGCAGGACTGATAATGTTTAAAGGAGAACTATGGGGTCAGTGTTTTTCCCCATAGTTCTCCTTAGGGTAACGGGAGGACACAAACTAGCGTCCTCCCGTCACCCTAAGCTCAGTATACCGCCAGCTACAGCTCACGGTATACTGAGACGCCGCACCTGGAGCGGATCCTGACGTAGATGCCGGGATCCGCCCAGCTGCGTGAGTGACAGCTGGCTCTGCCTATCTAGAGGCATAGCCAGCTGTACCCGCCCCCTCCCCCGTCCGTTCCGCCAAAGAGAGATAACAGCACTCCGAGGGAAGCAAGTGTACTTAGCGCAGTGAAGGATGACATAAACGAGCTCTCTTTTTGAAAACATGATTTCGGTTTGTTAGGAGAACACATCTCAGCCAAAAAAAGTCATAAGAAATATTTAAAAGCCAACTGCAGGCAAAACGTTTCTTTTGAAGGCTTGGCTAGAGCTAAGGACAGGAAGTGAGAGAAAATCTCTCCCACAGGGACACAAACAGCCAAAAAGACCCGATACCTCTATCCAGATCAAACCGGAACCTAAAGTTCTGGCTCAGGACTCCTAAACCATGACAACGTTTTCCTCTCTGCAACATTTTCTTGTGATTTAGGGGTGAGGGACGGATCCTTGACTCCCTAGGTCTAGAGGAAGCAAGTTGAACCGTGCCCAGTTCAGGAAAAGACACGATGCTGGATGAGTGGCCAGGTGAGTACATAAGGGACATCATTGGAGATTGGGTGAGTATGGCAGCCAGACATCCATTTTTATTTTAAAGTGATGCTGCAGCCCAGTTTCAGAGTCTCTGTTGTGATCGGCGAGAATTAATTACTCCATAGTACCTGCAGCTACATAGGTCAGTCTTGTTTTAAAGGGACACTAAACTCAGGAGCTAAATCTTAAAAATACATTCAAGAACCTTAACAACAATGTATCTTATTTGTGGATCACTCGGCTGTAGATCCTCCAATCATCTCTGAATTGGTGCTGACACTGTCCTTCCTTCTGGAGGAGGGGCTACTTGTGTTCCCCATGGTCCTTGTGTGTGTTGTAAGGTAGTCACCGCTCCAAGCTCACTCCCGGGATGGACTACAATCTCATGTTTAGTTTACTAATTGGTATTGAGATTATAGTCCATCCCGGGAGTGAGCTTGGAGCAGCGACTACCTTACAACACACACAGGGACCATGGGGAACAAAAGTAGCCCCCCTCCAGAAGGAAGGACAGTGTCAGCACAATAGACAGTGTCAGGATGAAGCGCTCAAAGCTCTTCTTGCTTCAGCTGTTGGAAGCCGGCTGAAGTGTTAGACCCCTGATGTCTCCATAAAGAAAACCTGGTGCCTGTGGTACATCACAGGAGTGAGCTTGGAGTGGCGACTACCTTACAACACACACAGGGACCATGGGGAACACAAGGAGCCACCCTCCAGAAGGAAGGACAGTGTCAGCACCAATTCAGAGATGATTGGAGGATCTACAGCCGACTGATACACAAATAAGATACATTGTTATTAATAGTTAAAAGGAGAATTATGAGGCGTCAGTCACGGCTCCCTGCAGAGATTCCCCCCTCCCCTGTCCGATCCTCTAGCGCTGACTGGCTGAATGGACGGGGGAGGGGTACAGCTGGCTCCGCCTCTAGATAGGCAGAGCCAGCTGTCACTCACGCAGCTGGGTGGATCCAGACAGAATTGTCGGGTTCCGTTCCGACTGCGGCGTCTCAGTATACCGCGAGCTGTAGCTCACGGTATACTGAGCTTTGGGTGACGGGAGGACGCTAGTTTGTGTCTACATTTAACTCCTGAGTTTAGGAGTCATTTTAACATAAAGCTAGGGAGGGATGTTTTTCACTCATCGTCCAGGCTGATGTTGAATGTTAAAGAAGTCTAGGTGTGGAGACAATGGCGTCTCTCTGTCCAAAAAAACAAAATGGCAGTGAATACATTGTCACATTCATTTCAGTCTCTAATCATATACACGCAGCAGTTGCAAAAGGAAAACCAACAAAATATAAATCATGTTAAACTTAGAAAACCAAATATAATTGTACAATAAATATTAGTACTCTAAACAGTCTCATTTTTAAGATTTAATCTAAACATTTTCAGAAGCGATCACTGCCTGATGACAGGAGTGGACTTGTCCTGCCCTCTACAGACGCCAAAGCTTTATCACAGAGGATTGGATGTGCCGCCTCTTAACCCTTTGCCGGCAGAAGATGATCTGAGAATGATTTAACAAGAGTTAAGCCAAGAGATAAATGCAAGAGGAGGTTGTGAAACATTGCTGGTGCTGGTATTAGTAACGTGCGCTCTTATTTCTGGAACGGTTGCAGACGCAATCCTACTTAAGATTAAATTAAAAGGTATTTCCAGGAAAACAGGAACTCTTCTGTTATTCATGGCTATTCCATGTAGTAACTGGGAGTTTGCATGTTCTCCCTGTGCTTGCATGGGATTCCTCGCACACTCCAAAGACATGCTGCTAGGTTAATTGGCTCCTGTCTAAATTGCCCATTCTAGTATATGTGCATGGGACATAGAGACCTTACATTCTAAGCTCCTTGAGGGCAGGGACTAATGGAAATGAACAGCATGTAAAGTGCTGCAAACATTGACAGTACTATATAAATACCTGTAATAATGAGAAAAAGACATTTTAACTACAGCAGCACCTACTGGTGAAATATGGTTCTGCAGCACAACCTGAAAATGCAAAGACCCCCCCATTGCAATATTATTTCCGGTCTTCATTACACCTTACATTATAAACAACAGGACAAGGGGTGTTCTGCTGTGTCTGCCAGGATCCTATAAGAGGGCACTGTGTGCTTATACACAAAAGCCAGCAATCAAACCTCTCCTTTAAAACAAGCAAGACACCTATGGATAAAATAAGAAGATGGGCCAGACCAACATTTTAAAGACTGTGGCCATTTAAATCCACTGCTTTAGTGACGTCAGTTTCCTGGCGAATTGACTATTGTCGAATATTGGTCACAAGATGGCCGCTTGAATATGAATTTGTGAGGCGTACACTAAAATCTGCACGCATCGGTAACTCCTTGCATTACGCGTTCATTTCTACTCAGCTGACCTGGAAGTGGCAGAAATGCACGTAAAACGAAGTTTGTTATATTCCTAAAGGAGTAATAACACAGAGTCATACTAAACGGCATTTCTAAAGTCTCCAGTGCCAAGTAAACAAAGCCTGGGGTGAAAGGGTAAGGAATTGCCCACGTACACTTCTATTATTGCAACGGTCATGTTTTTGGGCTCTCCTTCCAGGGAGGAATATTTACTGGCGACTCGTTTTCGGACACTTGCGAGATACAGAACTCGATGAACAGCCAGAATAAAACCCCTGCGCAGCCAGCAAAACACTCTTACATGAAACAAAGTCAGATCAGTAGACGATTGGGTTGGTGAGGTTCCCAGTTTTGAAGCCAGCTGGCTGGATTAGAAGGGGTATTGCTGGAAAACAGAATAATTAAATGTACGTTGTAACACTATATGTAAATGTATGGGCATACCCTTCAGAAAGGCAGAGGTGGAGGGTTTGGATCTAGTAATATTCTGTGCTTTTAGCCAATGCCCAGTGTGTGTGTGTACACCGCTTTCATCCCACGAGGGACAGCATGTACAGCGGTGTATAAACCTTTGAATGACAGAGAAGACACGGTGAAAGGAGATGAGCTTTCTCTAGTGCTCTCCTGGCCTAGGAAGCCGTGTCGTCCGGCTGTAGATCAGAAGAGGCTGACAGGGTGGAACTAACACCGGCTAAGCGCTTTTCAGCTTCCTCCACCTCCTCTTGCAGCAGATCCAATTCTCCCTGCTCCAGAAGCTCAAAATCTTCCACGTCGTCTCCTCCAGATTCTTGGCTTGCAGGACGCGAAAGTCCCGGACGCCCATGAGGTGCTACCGGGCTCTGCAGGGTGGTTTCCTGGCTCCGGGCCTGGATTTCGATTTGCAGCCCTGCGGCTTGGCCCTTCCCGTTGAAATGAGTGTTGACAAAGTGAAGCGGGGAGGTCAGTGTAGGCAGCAACTCTTCTGGGTTTAGGGACAGAGCTTGAGTCTGTAAAAGGGGGGTTTCAGCGACCGGCAAGTTTTTCCCATCTTCTGTATGGGGTCCCTGCCAAAGTGGAGAATCGGTGGGGTCTGTGGCAGGAACAGCTTCCTCGGGCACAGCGCTTGGCTGGTCCAAATCTAGAAGCAAAAAGAAACAATTAAAGTTCCAGCAATGCCAAATAATACATTACAGAAAAGACTCCTATAACGAATATTTGTTACTTTTATTTAGCCGTGCTTTCCATCCATTTTCCAGAGTGTGAAGGGTGTGGCTGCATTGTTACAGAGCGGGCAGCACCATGATGTATAGGGCAATGGGAAAAAGCATTCCCCATCTTCATACTACTCTGCATCCCACACAGCCATCCCTACTGCAATAAATGCTCCTGTATACTGTTGTTGCCAAATGCAAGCTGTAATCGGCTACTGCTACCCAGCTATCACAACCTGCACAGAGGCAAGAAGGCCTCTGTGCTTCATTCCGGCATACGGACAATGTGCTGCTAGATTTTTCACAGAACAACTCCAGCTAGGGGACATTATCAAGCTGAGCAGGGCCGGGTGGTGTCTGAATGTATGACCAGCAGTGTTCTGTAGCTCATTATGAGAAGCTATGGGATGCAATCTGACCACACCAGCACAAAACTACTCCCGTGCTTAGTGTTCAGATCTAAATGAACTTGACCGCTCCTTATTATAAGATGTATTATCTCACCCTCGGACACGTCGGTCAGCTGTGGCGTAGTTGCTCTGGATACAGAAAACCCTCCACTCTCCAGTAAAGAGGCCTCTTCATCTGACAGCTCTGAGTCAGTAATAGAAAGAGCCAAGGCTGTGATCCGCACATCCATCTGGAACGGAAAATTAAAATTAGGGAACAAGCCAACTCATCATTATTCTACAAAATAAATATAATCTCTCTCTCTCTCTCTCTATATATCTATATATATATACACACACACACACATACATGTATGTAGATAGATATATAGATAGATATCTATCGATATATATATCTATATATAGATATAACACAGACACACAAAATTGTATACTCACCTATCAGTAATTCTCATTTCCTGGTGCATCTTCATGGCTGCACACAATGGGGTTAATGTGCCGCCTGTTAACCCATTGTGTGCTGCCATGGAGATGCACCAGCAAAGTAAAATTACTGATAGGTGAGTATATAATCTTCTGTGTATATATCACACATATATATTACACACATACATACATACATACACACACACAGTATATGGCACACTTTTCTCATTTTGTTGTGTGCTTAAAGCAGACCTCAATGTGACTTTAGTACTGCTTGTCTGATCTGCTGCACCTCTAAAATAAAGAAACAAATACAAGTTATGCACTCGCATATTTACTTGGCATACTGATCGCTGTTTTCCGTTACATAGGTCAACCCGCAGTAAAAATACAGTGTGCAGAGACCTGGTTGTGGTCCTAGGCTGCTGCCTCTCTGATCACAGTGGATGAAACATTCATCAGATAGTCTATTCTTGGCTATCAGTCGGGTTAGGAGTTCCTAGTAAAAATGGTCATTCAGCTCGGTGGTTCATAGAACGCTGGTTATATTGAGCTGAGATGTCCGTGTGTGTTTGTGGAAATGACAGTGGCTGGCTAAATAAACTGTACAGCCACTCTCTTATCCATGAGGATATGTCAACATCTTAGCCCAATATAACAAGTGTTCTAGTGAATTCCATCTGGTTGTAAATATGGAATCACACATTTAAGCCCTGAAGAAAGGGGGGGCTCCCCTAAAAACCATGTATTTAATGCATCTAACTAATAAAATGTTTTATATGAATCACCAAGCTAAATTACCCTTTTTACTAGGCGCTCCTAACCTAATACCCAAGACCATTTACTGCAGAGGCTCTGCGTGTGGCACCAAGCAGCTTACCAATACAATCCGGAGGCAGCACTTATTACATGGTAGGCAAGTATATCAGCATTTAACTTGCGCTTTAATTACAGGTGCAGCACAGCAGACAGGGGGGCCTAAAGTCACATTCTGACGGTAGGTCTTCTTTAAAAGTCTGCCAAAACTCAAGAGCAAAAATGTAAAACATTGCAAGTCACCAGTCCCTAGATGTGGGGGCTGCATTGGTTTTCTTTGTGACCCTATATTTTCCTATGGTGATCCCGCCATCATTCCTGTCATAGGGTGACAGTGCTCACTCATTAAACTGTACCTATGGAGAAGCAGCGTTATCACCTTAGGAAAGGAATTGTGTTAAGACTACAGAAGGGTTTCCCCCTCTCTAGAACATAGGAAGAGGAGTACTGTAGTCTGAAGAGATATCTGGGAACAATGTAAATGATAACAGCCAGCAGAGGTAGAAAGCAGGGAAAATTATCAGCTCGCAAAATTTCTGTCCGGATCAACAGGTGTTTGTCTGTCCCTGCAGGCCTCACGGAACACCACAATATACAGTACCAATTTTAAATGCACTCATTCACATTCATCTTTCTTTATAGCAGGGATCAATGATGGATTCACTCACCTCTGGAGAGAAGCCGGAGAGCTCAATCTCACTCTCGCTGTCTGTCTCTGCTGTAGGTTCCTCCCCTTCTTCCAGCTCCTTCTTCACTTGTCTCTCTAAGAGCAGACGAGAAAGCAATGTCACTGCATCATAAACGTCACACTTCTTTGTCAGTGCTAAAAGCCATTGCAGCTAAACTCCGGCCTTCCCTTCAGTCTTGCACAGTTGTACCGGCTCCTCTCCTGCACTGAAATGGCCTCCTCTGATGTCACTGCACACTGGGAGCTTCTCACCATGTTCATAAGTAGAGGCAGCAGGTCATACAGAGCCCTCGTCATCTCCTGGTTGGAGGACATCCAGCATCATCTACTAGCCTTTTCCGAACCAGCCGGGCCGTCCCTGGCCCACCCCTTTAATTCATTCAATTTCAGTTCTTTTAATCATGGAGGCTCAGCATAACATATGTCTATTAGCTAGCGCAGTCAGCATGCAAATACAGTTGGCTGGGAACATTCGCTTCTCCAAACTGACATCCACCCATTTTGACATTTGCATAACCTCTCCCAAGAGCCAGCCCACTGCTTGTATCAGGGCTGAGAGTGTTCTATCAAAGATTGTGACTGGGTTGGAATGTGTGACCGGTCACGTGGTCACACATTTTAACGTGACCCCTCCCAGTTTTTCGGTGGTGGAATATGTGACCGTCAAAAGGTGAAGAATTCTAGCGCTTTCTCAGCTGTTCCAGGGCAGATCGGCATCGCAGATGGTATGTGCAGGAGAACCGATCTGTCCTGAAATCTCACTTCTATCCCACTCTGTGGAATGTGAGATTGCAGTCACAAAGTCACATTTCAGGACCAATCAGCTGTTCCAGGGCAGAACGGTTCTCCTGCACATGCCATCTGCGATGCCGATCTGCCCTGAGAAAGCGTTGGAAATCTTCACCTTTTGAGGGTCACATATTCCACCGTCGAAAAACTGGGCGTGATCAAGTTAAAATGTGATCACATCATTGGTCACACATTCTAACGCAGTCACAAACTTTGATAGAACAAGGGCTCTTGAGGGGAGTATTGAGGCAAGGTGCTGTGATGTTTTCAGTAGGCTATGTACAGCACGCTGCCAGTCCGTCCGAGACCCAGTGGATGACATTAACAGGACTAAAATAAAGTATGCAATAAAACTGGAAAGTTTTGATTGAAAAATATCATTGCTATGTTGCTGAGAGGGGGAGGAAAGAAAGAGGGAAGGCCAAATATAAGCAGATTAAACTTCAGCTACGAACCCTCTGCCAGAATAACACTTACTCTTGTGTGAGCGAGGCAGATCCTCCCCCTTCATAGTGTAATCTATCTTCATCAGAACGGGTTCTAGAGTGGTGTACATTCTCTGGATCAGCTCTCGGTAAACCACCAGTGGCCACAATAGGACACTGAGTACTGTAAGGAAGACAAGAGGGCACCGTGGTCACATGCATAGGTTTGCACGTGCATACAAATTGCTAGAACAATTATGGGAGATCTTACGTATTATGTAGGAAATCATAATGCCCGGAACATAATGTCCGACAACAGCCAGCACTGCACAGCACGAACACACCATGGCACAGAACTGAGGCAGAGAGAGAAGAAAATGAATACACTGGATATACAAAGATGAAGTTACCAGCCCCTAGGTCCCAGTGCAGAAAAAGGAAGGGTGTTAGGCTAGCCTAGACATAAGATGGAGGCCAGAAGATCTGACCTTTTCTGTAAAACAGTTGTGGCATAGACATACACCATCGTTTAGATCAGTGGTTCTCAACCTTTCTAGGGCCGGGACCCATTGGTAACATTTGCCAAGTTGTGGTGACCCCCAACCGTAAAAATTTAGGGATGCACCAATACTAGTATCTGGGTGGGCTCTCGGGAGGCTATGCAGGCTCTCAGGTGGCTAGTGGGACTCTCTGGTGGCATCCAGTGAGGCCTCTGTGGTGCCCAGTGCGGCCTCTGTGGTGATCAAGCATTCACCTCTCCTCACTCCTGCCCGCTCCCCTCTCTCTGATCCTCTCTGGCCGCGGCTGCTGCAGCACCATCTAGGAGAACTGACACTGCTGCGCTAGGAGGAGGCTGAGGAGCATCTTATCTAGAGCAGCACAAGGCACGTGGGGACCGCCTCAACTGTGGGTTGCGACCCACTTTTGGGTCGCGACCCACAGGTTGAGAACCACTGGTTTAGATGAACATGCCTGTGTATTTATGGCGCAGGCACAAGGTAGTACAAATCCATTTGTGGGGAGAGCCCCAATGCAAGGGTTCATTTTTTTTGTTTGTCTGGAGTTCTCCTTTAAACCTAAGGTAAGCTAGCCAGGAAGTGTTCAGGGAGAACAACATTCAACTGTCAAATGGCAGCACTTTAGAGGTCAGTAAAGGTTCTGGCATTTGACAGCTGAATGACAGGGGTGGGTGTTAGAGGTGGGACAGGCAGGGTTTAATCTTCTGACTTTATCTGATATGCATAATTGTACCAGACATAAGTCAAAATAAAGTCAGAAGTTCTAATGCCAGGTCAGTTATAGTGGTGGAGTAAGAGAACTAGCATGACAGCTGAACAAACACTATTTTCAGGATGAGAGTTTGACCTTCTGTTTGTTACAGCAAACCTGTTGGGAATCTAGAAATCCTGAGCCAACAGCAGGACCAGAGCAGTAACCGCAGGACCAGAGCAGTAACCGCAGGACCAGCGCAGTAACCGCAGGGCCAGCGCAGTAACCGCAGGACCAGAGCAGTAACCGCAGGATCAGAGCAGTAACCGCAGGACCAGAGCAGTAACCGCAGGACCAGAGCAGTAACAGCACCCCTTTCTTACTCTAACATGTGTTACTCCAGCACCACCTGCAGGAGCCTCACTGTGTCTCCATATTCTGATAGGGAAAAACAACCATATCCTGCCCTCAAGAATGGGGCCTGTATGAGTTACCAGCAGATGCCATATGAGGGGGGGCATGGCTAGGCAATGAGTGAACTTCAGAATGCGGTTACCCACAAAGCCACTTTAGGGGTAGGGCTCCAGGGCAACAGTGAATGGACTAATGTTAAGGTAAAAGGGTTTGTGCTAAAAACTTACACTGTCAGCTACCTGATCCTGCTATTAGTTCAGTATTTATATCTCCTGAGAAGATGCTGCAGCACAGTGCAGGATCGACTTTTAATGAGATCTGGCCGGAAGGAGGATGACGTCACCCTCCCCTAGGTGCTGCAGGAGGAATTTGAGGAAATAATGCAAGTATAGTATTTTCGGAAGGGGGAGCAACTTGAATGAGTGGACCTTTCCACTGAGGTAATACTGCACTGTTCCATTGCTGATAAACAAGACAAACCCGGATATGTAAGGAAGACTTCAGCACAGGAACCCAGAATTACAGGGGAGTCAACTAATATTTGCTCTGGTTAAAAGCGGTAAATTAAAAATCACACGCATGTTTCTATTAAAGGTAACCTACAGAAACCAGCAAATAACCAACCCAACCCAAAATCAGATCAAGCAGCAGCCCGAACAAAGGTTTACCTGTCATTTTGACTCACCTTTCCCGGGTACTGCATTTTGTAGAGCAGCAGTTCCTGGATGTACTGCTGGCAGGTGAGACACGTCTCCGCCATGTAATGACACAGCTCACGCACACTCAGCAGCCGGTGCTGACTCTCCCCTCCCGCCAACATCTCACTACAAATACACAGCAAAGGTATGTCTGGACTAGAAAACTCAACTCACTTTTGTACCATTTTCTCAAATTGCATATGCTGGACCCCAGACAATAAAATATGTGGAGAGAATTGGAATACAGGTGTCTCTCTCTTTCCACTTTCTGCCATTTTTTTTTTTTAAATCTTGGCTCTGCCAGCTTTATACCCCATGTGGTACAGAGCTATTTTTACATTTCTGTTATGTCATGGGTAAGAAGATATACATAACGGGGCGAATTTATCAAAACTGGAGCAGACAGAATCTGGAGCAGTTGCCCATGGCAACCAATCAGCATCTCTCTTCAGTTTGCTCAGGTAAGATTTGAAAATGAGACAGAGAAGCTGATTGGTTGCCATGCACAGCTGCTCCAGATTTTGATAAATTCCCCCCACTGTATATTGTACTTTTCCAGGCAAACAAGGATTTCTTTTGGTGATGCGGTTTTGCAAAAATGACTTTGTTAGTGCTTACCTGTCAGCGGATGGTTCTGCCTGAGTTTGAACTGTGAAAACAAGAAGGTTCAGTAAATTAAAAAAAAAGGTGTCCGGCCAAACAGCCAAGTACATATATTTGCAAACACACATTTAATTCAGGTATCTTCACAGAGAATGTAGCAATTAGAGGTGCACCGAAATGGAAATTTCGAAACCGAAATAAAAAGACCAAAAGTGCCATTTTCGGCCGATATGTTACGGCAGGCGATATATCGGTGCATCCCTAGTAGCAATGGTATAATTTATAACAGATATTATATTGTTTAAATATTCAAATGTTCTCCAACATCAATTGTATGCAGGCTGCCGTCATCAAAAGGCCACTGGGAAGTTTCCTCCTTGTTTGTTACCGTTTGTTAAAAATGAACATGAAAATTGACATAAAAAAACTACCTCGCTAACCGACGCATTTCGGGGGATATTCCCCCTTCCTCGGAGCTAGAGCTAGCTTTTGTGGGATCTGCCTTGTACCTTTCATCTAGCTGTTACAGTGCGAGTTGTTTTTTTATGTCAATTTTCATGTTCATTTTTAACCAGTTGACATCCGCGGTGTTAAACCCCCTTCCCATCCAGGCCATTTTTCAGTGTTCAGCGCTGCGGTACTTTGACTGACATAAACGGTAATACACAAGGACAAGGCGCTGTCTGTTTGTTTTGCTTGTTTCAATATTTGCTTACAAAGTCACAAGCTGTATTTATATATTAGGTTTACATATATTTTAATGAAATACAAACAAATGTATAAATCAACTAAGGAGTTTTCTTTTTTCTTTTGTCCAACGTTCCACTGACATCCTTTAAAGCAGTGGTTCTCAACCTGTGTAACCTCAGGCCTTGGGCCCCATTCACACTAAGCGGATTGCCGCACCATTTCCGCCGCGATATCGCGAGAAGTCGCCTGCCAATGATTTGCAATGGAGCTGTCTTAATGTACAGCTCCATGTCGCCCGTCGCGCTATCCCGGCACGCGCGGATCCGCTCCTAAAGGTATGTCGCTCAGCGTGAATGGGGCCTACAAGAGGAACTATAATGATGTTGGGAGACTTTGATTCACTTTTTTTAAAATGATATTTTAAATGTTTTTTTGTTTTGATTATTGATATAAACATTGTGTTCTACAAACATTCATAGAATTCGGGGTGTACCCATGACAGAAGAATCAAACAGAGTGTTTTGGACTTATACAGAATTAAGCACAGCAGAAGCTGCATGCTTTCAGACTCTCTATAATTGAAAGGCAATTGGAGCAGTAGTGAGCAGAGAGAGGTGGGAGAGATGAAGCGTCACTTCTCTTACCTATTCAGCTGTGTGTGTAATCTGAGCATTAAAGTGACACTAAACTCAGGAGTTAAATCTTAAAAATGCATTCAAGTCCCTTAACTAGAAATTGTTCTTTATCAATGCCTGAAGGGTCAAAGGTTGTCAGGTGAAGTGGTTGCACAGGTCTGAGTCCCTCCTGTTATAACTGCCATATAACGCCATTATTAAAGTAGACTTAAAGTGACACTAAACTCAGGAGCTAAACCTCACAAATGCATTCAAGTCCCTTAACTATTACCAACAATGTATCTTATTTGTGTATCATTCGGCTGTAGATCCTCCAATCATCTCTGAATTGCTGCTGACACTGTCCTTCCTTCTGGAGGGTGACTACTTTTGTGCCCCATGGTCCTTGTGTGTGTTGTAAAGTAGTCACCGCTCCAAGCTCGCTCCCGGGATGGACTACAATCTCAATACAAATGAGTAAACTAAACATGAGATTGTAGTCCTCCGCATGCTGGCTGGAAATAGGTTTAGTATGAAAAATTGAATCTTTAATGTTCACCCAACTATGAAAAAAAAAAAAAATACTTTTATGAATGACATTTTGTATTCCTGAAGAGAATATAAATAAAAGCACTAACTTTCTCTTTAGCTATTGTCCCTGTCCATGCTCCTGTTGCCATAGGAATAGATTTGCATCTAAATGCAGTCTTATGTTGGTCGCAACTTTTAGATATTTTGTAGCTGAAAGGATTATGCAGATTTGATTCCTTCAATGCCGCTGTTAATCTCATTTTTCTATAAGAAGGAGATGAACTCCGCCCGAGCAGATATTATATAAGATGTAGTCAGACAGAGGTGTGTTACCTCTACAGTGCCGTAGTATCCAAGTCTTCCAGTGCTGCACACCCAGGAGACACAGAAGAAAGAAGCTGACCAGAAATACAGGTCGCGGGGACAGGTACGAGAACAGCCTGGAATGACAAGAAAACCAAAGTCAACGCCTATTGGTAGCTTTCCATTTACCAGCAGAGGAAAAAACTGAAGCACAGCAATGAACTAGATGTTAAAAGAGAACCTGTCCCAACTTGGCTCAAGCAGGGTCTGAATGTCCTAAAGCTGATCTCTGACGGGCCCTAAAGTAAAAAATAGTAAAAATTCCTGAAAGTGCTTGTCATAGTTTAACCCAATCCCTGCCACTGTCCTTTTTGTCTGTATGATTTGGTGTGCAGGTAAAGAAAACGGTGAATAAAGGCAGTAAAATGTAAAAAAAAAATAAAGATTTTGTTATTGGAATGCTGTCATTAAAAGAAGAACTCCGGGTAGAAAAAAAAAACCATGCAAACAAAAAACAAAACAAAAAACTTTTACCCTTGCAGTGGAGCTATCCCCGGCCACGACAAAGGATGCGTTCTTGCGCATTCATTTCTGGCATCAGAAGCAAAGATGGCCTGGCAAGCATGGCATCTGTCAGCTCTGTGCAATAGTAAACTGGGTCTGTTGGGTGTTAGAATTTGATCCAAGAATGTTGGCAAGAACAGGACATAAAAAAAACATACAAAGGCCTGTGTGGTAAATATGGACCCTTGTTACTGCTGAGGAAGCCACTTGGATAACTGGGTGACATTACAGAACAAACCAATTTGAATGTGACCAGCTACCGTGTTTTCCCGAAAATAAGACATTGTCTTATATTTTTTGTGGCTCAAAAAAACACACCAGGTCTTATTTTCAGGGTAGGTCTTGTTTTTTTATGTATAACAATCAGGAGTACCGTACCTTTCCAAGAGCAATTTGGTGACCAGAATGAGCGAAGCTTTCACTATGGATTCCTCACATTCGGGGTGCATTTGGTATCACTCCGCCTGACAGGAGCCGGCGCTATAGAGGAGGCATCGGCTTATGCGGCTCTGCTCCCTTCGGTGCCGCCTCGCTTCCTCTAGCGCCGGCTTTGTGGACACCGCTGATTCTATCCACCTCTCCAAGTTCCCCCTTATGCCACCACCGGCCCTGGGAATGTTCACAACTAGGTCTTATTTTCGGGCTAGGTCTTATATTTTAGAAATTCCCAAAAATTATACTAGGTCTTATTTTCGGGGAAACACGGTACTACCAGATATACCGTGACCTGGATAAAGGAGAACCTTCACAGACATGCTAATACAGGAATTCTTAACAAGGGAAATATGGACCAAATATTGGGGGTAAACATGATCTCTGAATAATTAAAAACCTCATCAGGAGCCAGCTTGTGTATTTGTGATTTGCCAATTTTAGATGAACTATAATGACAAAATTCTAATAATTTTCTTTCAGCTGTTTTGTTCCTATCCCTATGTAATATTGTCGGGGTCCACCCCGCTGCCTGATTGACAGCTGGCTCTGCCTTTCTAGAGTCAGAACCAGCTGTGCCCGCCCCCTCTCCTGTCTGTCCCCCCACAGAGATGGGAGGGGAGAACTCCTGCGGGGAGCAATGACTGACAGTCACCAGGCTCTGCAAGGAGAAGATCGTGAGCTGAGCTATCAGTAGCTGCCGTGTCCCATAAGGGTTGGCTTCTGCAGGTAACTGCCATGCATACATTAAAGGAGAACTATGAGGCGAGTGAAAATCACTCAGCCTCATAGTTCTAGCCGACCTGTGACAATGAAACTGTCACAGGTCGGCTCAATAGATCGGGAAGTGAGCGAAAACATACCGCAGCTCGCTCACTTCTCGATCCTGTCCCTGCAGAGAGCCGTGGCTGTCACTCACAGCTCCCTGCAGGGATTCCCCCCTCCCCTGTCCGATCCTTTAGCGCTGACTGGCGGAACGGATGGGGGAGGGTACAGCTGGCTCTGCTTCTAGATAGGCAGAGCCAGCTGTCACTCACGTGGCTGGGTGGATCCAGACAGTAATGTCAGGATCCGTCCCGGCTGCAGCGGCCTCAGTATACAGCTCGCGCTATACTGAGCTTTGGGTCACGGGAGGACGCTAGTTTATGTCCTCCCGTTACCCTTAGAACTATGGGGAAAAGCACTGACCCCATAGTTCTACTTTAAGAACACATATAAACCTATGGGAAGATTTTTGTTTAGCTGAATGGCCTGAGGACCTTTACCCATATCTACAATATGGGTCTACAAAAACATACTTCTAGATAATTGCCGGCTTTGTATTCTTTGCATACCCTATTTTTCTTTTCCTCCCCATTCTTTGCAGAGTGGCCATTTGTACTAAGGGGAGATTACTAGCTCTCGCTTTACTTCCTGGAACTCTGGCACATGTAACTAGGCTATATACCCATGCACATCATCTCAGGGGAGGAAAATGCCTTTCCCTGAGATCTCATGAGATTTCCCAGCAATGCTCTGCTAATGTAACCTTCCCAGTGTGCAACGCTTTGGCACATTACATCATTTGTGCCAGAAGTGGACCAGGAAGTAGATTCACTCTAATAAATGAAAAGCAAGTTTGTTTATCCGAGATGATTTTCAATCAGCATGCAGAGCTGTATGCTGATGTGATTTTTAGTGAAAGGGGGTAAAGGTCCGCTTTAAGAACCTCTGTTATGGATCAAATTAACTATTAACCCCTTCGTGACTGACGACGTACAGGGTACGTCGCCAGCATCGGGGCTGTTTAAACAGACTCCCGGCGACTTTTGCCGCCGGGACTCTGTTTAAACTTGTAGAGCCGACTGTCGGCTTTACAACAGAAGCGATCCTGGCGACTTACCTGTCGCCAGATCGCTTCTGCGTCCCGAAGAAAACCAGCTGTGCCCGCCCCCTCTCCTGTCTGTCCCCCCACAGAGATGGGAGGGGAGAACTCCTGCGGGGAGCAATGACTGACAGTCACCAGGCTCTGCAAGGAGAAGATCGTGAGCTGAGCTATCAGTAGCTGCCGTGTCCCATAAGGGTTGGCTTCTGCAGGTAACTGCCATGCATACATTAAAGGAGAACTATGAGGCGAGTGAAAATCACTCAGCCTCATAGTTCTAGCCGACCTGTGACAATGAAACTGTCACAGGTCGGCTCAATAGATCGGGAAGTGAGCGAAAACATACCGCAGCTCGCTCACTTCTCGATCCTGTCCCTGCAGAGAGCCGTGGCTGTCACTCACAGCTCCCTGCAGGGATTCCCCCCTCCCCTGTCCGATCCTTTAGCGCTGACTGGCGGAACGGATGGGGGAGGGTACAGCTGGCTCTGCTTCTAGATAGGCAGAGCCAGCTGTCACTCACGTGGCTGGGTGGATCCAGACAGTAATGTCAGGATCCGTCCCGGCTGCAGCGGCCTCAGTATACAGCTCGCGCTATACTGAGCTTTGGGTCACGGGAGGACGCTAGTTTATGTCCTCCCGTTACCCTTAGAACTATGGGGAAAAGCACTGACCCCATAGTTCTACTTTAAGAACACATATAAACCTATGGGAAGATTTTTGTTTAGCTGAATGGCCTGAGGACCTTTACCCATATCTACAATATGGGTCTACAAAAACATACTTCTAGATAATTGCCGGCTTTGTATTCTTTGCATACCTTATTTTTCTTTTCCTCCCCATTCTTTGCAGAGTGGCCATTTGTACTAAGGGGAGATTACTAGCTCTCGCTTTACTTCCTGGAACTCTGGCACATGTAACTAGGCTATATACCCATGCACATCATCTCAGGGGAGGAAAATGCCTTTCCCTGAGATCTCATGAGATTTCCCAGCAATGCTCTGCTAATGTAACCTTCCCAGTGTGCAACGCTTTGGCACATTACATCATTTGTGCCAGAAGTGGACCAGGAAGTAGATTCACTCTAATAAATGAAAAGCAAGTTTGTTTATCCGAGATGATTTTCAATCAGCATGCAGAGCTGTATGCTGATGTGATTTTTAGTGAAAGGGGGTAAAGGTCCGCTTTAAGAACCTCTGTTATGGATCAAATTAACTATTAACCCCTTCGTGACTGACGACGTACAGGGTACGTCGCCAGCATCGGGGCTGTTTAAACAGACTCCCGGCGACTTTTGCCGCCGGGACTCTGTTTAAACTTGTAGAGCCGACTGTCGGCTTTACAACAGAAGCGATCCTGGCGACTTACCTGTCGCCAGATCGCTTCTGCGTCCCGAAGAAGGGGCCCCCCCCCCGCCGGACACCCCCGCCGTGCTTCCCGGGCTCCGTTGCCCCTCCTACGGGCCCGGGACCGGCGATCTTTGTGTCCGCGGGGAGCTGGGGAGGAGGTCGACGAACTTCCGTTCATCGATCCCCTCCCCGTTCTATGGGACCGGGAGCGATGCAGATTGCATCACTTCCGGTCCCTGGGCTGTCAGTTCTGGGCTCCTGCAGCCCAGCTATAAGCTATTGAAGTGCGATCTGCACTTCAATAGCTTATTTCCAGTGTAAAGGTGACACTGAGGGTCTTTTGGACCCCCAGCATCACCTTAAAGAGGACCTGTCACCACCATCTGCTATTACATGGGGGGGCTTGCAAGCCCCCCCATGTGATAGCAGTCAAAGTAAAGTAAAAAAAAAAAAAAAAACAGTTTTTAAAATTAAAATGAAATAAAATAAATCTAATAATAATAAAAAAAAATTTTTAAAAGTACCCCGCCCCCGCGAGCACGCGCGTCGCCACGTAAACACGCGTCGGGTGCGCCTACGCATGAAAACGACGAACGCGCTACACATGTTGGGTATCGCCGCGCACGCCGGAGTGAGAGCAATAATTCTAGGGCCAGTATTTTGGGGTATCTCTAAATTGATGACCTGCAGTATTTTCAGGGTATACAAAGCCGGCAACTGCAGGGTACTGCAGTTTTTCGCCGTTTCACGGTCGCACGCAATCTGTAAACTGGGCATGTTGGGTATCGTTTTACTCGTTGTAACCTCATCTTTTATATTTCATTTAAAAAATGGGTAATTTGTTGTGTTTTGGGGCATTTAATTAAATTTGTCACTAAATTTTGGGGTTTAATAAGGAGTTGCGCTAATATTGCGCAACATAAAAATTTTCAACTACCACCATTTTATTCTATAGGGTCTTGGCATTCAGAAAATATATAATGTTGGGGGGTTTTACGTCATTTTCAGGTCTAAAATGTGGAATATAACATGGGTGCAAAAATTGAAAAAAGGGCCTCAGTCATGAAGGGGTTAAGCAAGGAACATGATTTTCTATTGACAGCAACAGAAAAGTTGTGTTTCTATGTTTTTTAATATTAAAGACAATCTACCACTTGATGATGTTCTCTAGAATCCCAGAATCTTACCAAAATACTCCATGAAGAGCAGCAGCTGTTAGCAGACTCGGCAGGGGCCGCTCCCACACCAGAAGTCGTTGCCCCGCAATAAGTAAAGGTCCCCATTCCTTCAGTCTATGATGAATATCGGCCTCTAGGTAGCTCATGTCCTCCTCTGAGGCTCCAGGGAGTGGTCCGCTCCCCTCTTCACTCTCTGACAGATCTGCTGAAAGCCCCGGTGCAATATCTTCCCCAGGCATCCTTTTTGTTGAAGACGCCATGGGGTCTCCGTTGTCATCACTCATGGTTCAAACTTTGTTTAGTAGTTCCTCCAACTTCGCAGCCAAGGTAAGCAGTCGGCGGTCAGATACAGCAAGGTTCCTCCCGAGTCGCTCCGCAACATTCCCTGGATTTACCGACTGTCAACGGCTCCAGCAGCACAAAGATTCGAATGAATTTTCCTGATATTCGGGTTTTTGCTATTCCCTCAGATGGCTCCACAAGAAGATTCTCTGCCTTCCTCCCTTCACACCCGACCTATACTTCCATTAACCAAGCTCAAATAGTTTCCCTTTTTCTCTTCTAATCTAATCCTTCCCTCACATTAAATGCATATAAATAGTTCGAATGTTAACTAGCAACAACCAACTATTCCATAATCCACCTAAGCTCTTCCCTTATAATTACAGCCCAGCCTATGCCCATAACATGCTATCACATGACAGCTTTTCTTCTGGCTGGAATAGTTACAAAAGCAGAACCTAACCAGGCTGCATTGATAATGTATCTGTTCCTAAACCTTTTTATTTTCCCGTCACCGGACCCCTGTAAAACTTAGTCTGCCTCAATAGTGGCGTCCCCTAGGCTGGTCTACTGAGTGGAGACCAATCAACCTCTCTCTAGATAGGATTTCTTCAGATGTATTCGGATAGTGGATCCTCAATCACCAAATCCCACAGTATCAGCTTACTCTGAGAAGAGATCACACCTTGGCCAAACTATCCCTTTACTAGTTACTCCTATAACCAAAAAAATCCCTCCCCTAACGCCAATCTTTCCTGATATCGGAATCTCCCTTTAACAAGTCTTCAGAGATAATTAATCTTCCCTATATGTTGTGTTTCCATGCAGGAGATTCCCTTACACTGGCCTATCCCGGTGATTACACAAGTGTCTCCTTATAGCAGATCCTCTAATGACAGTGTATCCAGCTAGAGTTCCCCCTCAAGCCAACCAATCTCACTACTAGGTCTTACTAAAAGAATCTATCCATACGGGTCAGCCCCTTAACTATCATTGCTGATATTAGATTCTCTTAAGTATATCCAGATATTAGATCTTCCCTCACCCCCCGTCTATCCGAATCTTTCCTGACCCAGGGCTATCTAGATATTAGATCTTCCCTGACCCTGATCTATCCAGATACTGGATCTTCCCGACCCTGGTCTATCCAGATACTGGATCTTCCCCGACCCTGGTCTATCCAGATACTGGATCTTCTCCGACCCTGGTCTATCCAGATACTGGATCTTCTAGACCCTGTTCTATATAGATATTAGATCTCCGCTGCTCCGCTGGTCGACCTACCTATTTGATCATCCCTGAACTTAGTCTAAGCAGATATTGGAGTCTTCTGTCTCGGTCTGTATATATATTAGATCTACCCCGACCCTGGTCTATATAGATATTAGATCTTCCCTGACCCTGGTCTACCCATATATTGGATCTTCCCTGACCCTGGTCTACCCAGATATTGGATCTTCCCTGACCCTGATCTATCCAGATATTGGTTCTTCCCTGACCCCAGTCTATTGAGGTATTAGATATTATCTAGACTCATCTAATCAGATATTAGATCTCCCCTGATCCGGATCTATCCAGATATTAGATCTTCTCTGACCCTGGTCTATACAGATATTAGATCTTCCCTACCCTGGTCTATATAGATATTAGATCTTCTCTGACCTCAGTCGATCCAGATATTAGCTTTTTCAAACCCTAGTCGATCCAGATATTAGATCTTCCCTGGCCATAGCCTACTTACCTATTAAATCATCTCAGACTGCAGTATATAAAGATATTAGATCTCCCCTGACTCTGGTCTACATAGATTTTGGATCCTTCTGACCGGGTCTATGCAGTTAATAGATCTTCCTAGACCCTGTTACATATATTTTAGGTCTCCCTTGACTTCAGTCTATGCAGTTAATAGATCTCCCCTGACCCTGGTCTACATAGATTTTGGATCTCCCCTGACCCTGGTCTATATAGATTTTGGATCTCCCCTGACCCCAGTCTATTCTCACAGTAGATCCCCCTGGACTCAGTCAGCCCTTGGAAGGAGATCCTTCAAACTGGCCAGTCCAGAATCAGAACTCTATGACCCAGTCTAATTATGAATAGCAAATATAAGAGTTACTCTTAGCCCACCATGACAGCAGACCTCCTCGCCAGCCTCTGATGACAGCCACTGTCCCCTTAGCCTCCTGACAGCTGTCAGCTCTCCTGGCCAGCTCAGTGTACCCGAGGCCCTGTCAATGGCCAGCACCTTCGGCCCCTACGGACATCTCTCCGGGGCTTCCAGCTGGGATGTTGTTGTTATGAAGGTGCGTCAGCTGAGAGGAAGTGACGTCACTACCCGGAGCATCTTCCTTCCGCTGTGTCTGACGGGAGCCTGCTACTAAACGCAAGCTCTGGGATGTGTAACGGGAATACAGTCCCGGAGGGCGGGTAGTTTCCGTCACCCATCCCTGGGTTCCAAACAGAATGCCATGAGCTGTGTCCGTGCCAGCTACAGAACCGAGGATTGGAAGTCTTGTGCCCACAGTCAATATGTCTGCCGAGTCTCTGCACTGGCCATGTGACAGGGTAACCGTCTGTAAGGGAGGGGCGTAGTGTAGCAGCGGCGGCCATGATTGATACTGGCGCGGCGGCGCCCTGTGGTTATGGATGGTAGTGATTACACCTGCTGGCTCGGGAGTGTGGTGTGTCTGAGAGAGGACAGGAGGCACTCTCATATACATGTGTGAGGGTGTAGTGTAACAATGACTCATTGTCATTAAAGTTCTGCCAACTGTATGGGAAGGGGCACACACAAAATGTATTATTCCATAATTAATGTAGGCTGGGAAGCATTCGGACCAGTACACACCAGTCCAGTCTGCTGCAGTGCATTAAATGCATGCACATTAATATCATTTTATTTTGCGCGGTAACGTGTGTTGCGTTAGGGCAGCCTTGACCAATGCACTAAAGTGGACCAGAAATCGTGCATGCAGCATTTTCTGCATCACAATGCACTTACCACATGGTGCATTGGGGTACCATTTAAAATGAATGGCAATGAATTGCCCAAACACATGAGGCGTGCAACGCCATAGTGTGAATGGGCCCTAACAGCATATCTACATTTTCTTTGTTCTGAATAGGGAAGGGTTAAAGTGAAATGGATCTGAACCACAACTGGGTTCACACAAGATGTCTCCTGCTGTTCCTAATTATGTTGTGTTCGGTGCACCGGAGAAATCACAAACTCAGGATTAAGGTTTATGACGCATCTACTTTATTCAGGGCGGTCTCTCTCCTTTATACACAGATAACAGGAGAGTGCTCGTCACATATGCCCACATCTGTTATCTCTAAATGTCTTGTACTATTGGGCAAACTAGAGCGGCTGTTAGTTAAAGTTTTGTGTCTCTCGCTAATTGGTTAGTCAAAGATATCTTCTGCCTGCAGCGTCCTCCCTCTGCATTCCTTTCATGTATCCTCGGCGCGCTCCCGAATACAGGTTATATCTCTTGGTTACGCATAGCAACGCTAAAAAGCTGAGTAAGGAAAGTCACAAAGCTAGGAAGCAAACAAAACAAATTCAAAACAATTTAAAACATAGAAAAGGAAATTTTCTTGATATGATCCATATTCCTTCACAAAAGCACATGTAAACCTAAAAAGATAAACTGCAGCTTACCAATCCTGAGAGGTGGTGGCTGCATTAATTTTCTCTTTTCACCTAGTGATCCTGCCAGTAGCACTCATCGGGGTCTAATTAGAAACTATTATATTGTGATGTAATAATGCATTATGACCACTAAATGGCGCCGGGGGGAGCATAGAAAATAAGAATGTATTCCCTATGCTCCTCAACGACATCTATTGGCCATAAAGCGCCATTACATCACAATACATACAAGTATCGGTATCAGTGCCGATACTGAGTATTTGGGTGAGTACTCGTACTCGCCCAAATGCTCCCGATACCTATCCAGATACCGGGACTTCCAGTATCAGGAAGCCATCGGCAAGTCCTTACATGGCGCCCGGCTTCCTGATTGGCCAGAAAGCCGGCTCCAATCTTCCCTCGTCAGCATGGAGACGGCTTCCCTGCTAATCGGGAAGCTAGGTGGCGAGTCATTACACGTCTCCTGGCTTCCTTAATGGGAGTTCAAGTATCGGTATTTGGTATCGGCGAGTACGGGAAAAAAAAGTCTTGTACCTGCTTGTACTCGATACTGAAAAACCGGTATCCGTGTATCCCTAGCAGGTACTGTGGAGTAATTCATCCTCCAAGATCACACAAGAGACTCTGAAGTTGGGTTGCAGTTTATTTACGAACTGTTTACAGCACCTGCTGTTTGTTTGCATGAGAAGTCGGCCAAGCCCCTGCTACCATAGAGCATAAGAAAGCGGAGCGGTTGTCTCAGTGCCTCTCTTGTGCTTTCAGAGGATGATTTTCCTCCACAGTGCATGTAACTACAGAAGTCAGTGCGGGTTGCTTTAAATCTCATTTACTGCCAATTAAAGCCCAACCATTTCATTAGCATGTTGATGATGGGGGAGGAGAGGAACCAGGAGAGTCCAAATATAAGCAGAATAGGTTTCAAGCTTTAAAGGGCATCTATGGTCAAAAAATAAAATAAAATCTGTATTTCTATAAGTTCTCTCCCACTCCTAATAACCACATCCATCTAGAAGATGCCCATAGGATGAACTTCCTCAATGCACTGACACCATTTCTCTTAGCCCTGTGACTATGCACTTCCTGGTGTCACCGCTCTCACAGAGCTCGCCTTCTGAAGCACAACTCAACATCTGAACAATGTAACATTATTATTAGTTGCTGGAAGGAATGCATGGCGGGATATGTAGTCCTGAGAAATGGAGATTGCATCACATCAAGCAGCAGGGAGAGAGACGCAAAGCACGCTGGGAATCCAGGAAGTGATGGGCAGACGGAAGGCAACGCTCACTACGTAAAAGTGTGATTATACAGTATCTGTCTGAAGAATCACAGCCAATTGTCATGACA